GGGATGCCACTAGAACTGTCCCATCCAACAGCTAATCTGAGTAATGATAAAGAACAAACCTCGGAAGCAACATAGACAACATTGTCTACTGTCCTCCAATACCTAGCAGGACGAAGGCCATTCCGATCAAGACAAGCTCCAACAGTTTTTCCATCACTGCTCAAATGAACAAGAACAAGTAAGTGAAAGAAACGAATAAATTTTACTCAAATAATAACAAAAACTGTAACTGATAATTATTAAATATCAAAACTGTACAAGGGTGGCAACTCCAGTATGACAGAAATATATAATAATAACAACAACAATAATAATAATAAAAGATTTAACCATCCTATCCAAGATATACCTAATTTCCATCTTTAAGTCCACATGGCTAGTACAAAACTCAACTCAACAAAACCTTGTCTCAACCAAATGGATTAAACTACATTACTCCTGTTTTTCCATTCAACTTTGTTCAGTGCCATTATCTATTGTTAAATTATGGTCCTTAAAAACATTATTCATTAATTTAATTACGTCCGTTTTGGCCTGCCCCTAGTTCTATCCCTTCAACTTGCAACAGGTCACTTCTTACTGGTGTTGCAGATGGTCTTCTCTGCACATGACCAAACTGTCTAGTTTTCAATCATTTTACCACCTTTCAAGTCTACTCCTACATTCCTTTTTTTTCCTTTTGATAAGTACTGATAATGTTTTATTAAATAATCAAAGGTACCAAGCAATACAATGAGACATCCCAAAGAGAGGCACAAGAAAAAAAAAATATATTGATCAAAAAAAAGAGAGGCGCAAGATGCAGCCTCAATTACAACAATAGATTACAACTGAGCTCAAAAAAGATTATCCTTGTGCCCCTAGCTCTTCTATTCCTGTAAGTCCAGATTACAGTGTCTGGACCCTTGAGCCACCCAACTATCAATTTAGAGTTCCCTTCAACTTTCAACCTGTCAAAGTTCAGCTCTTTAACAATTTGTACTCCCTGCAACACTACTTAAAACTCAGCATGGATAGAACCCCTATTCCTACAGGGCCTGAGTATAATGCAATTAAATGGCCTTCTACATTCTTATGAATATTACCACTTCTGACTGTCTTTTCTGGTTTTCCCACTCATCCATCTCAACATTTACATGTTTACTACAATATTATATTATTTTGGTTGATAATATCAAAGGGTATATGGAGAATCATATGTATCAGTGTTATGATATCACCCTTTTATTGAAAATTTTCATATTTTATTAAAATAGTCAAAATAGAGAGGAACAAACAAAGAGGAAGAAAGATACAAATGACCCATAGCATGCCTAACAGGTCCCACCCAGACCTTGGAAAAAGGCTCCCTTATAAACAGCCAAACAAAAACTACACAACAAAACCATTCATCCAGAAACCTGCTATAACAGCTCTAAAATCAAGTTTACTCTTTCAACCACAGATCTAGAATGACTCCTAGAACTCTCCACAGTCCTCATTCTAGCCATCAAAGTCCTCACTCTCCAAATGTGACAGAAACCATAGACCTTCCTGATCCCTCATGCATCCAACAGGCAATAACCTCTAAAGCAAGCTCCAGCCATTGATGGACCATAAGAATTTCACTCAACTGCACCACGAGAGATGGAGCTAAGCTACTCGGATAACGCCTTCAATTATCAAAGAATTTGGAATTTCCAATGTTCTCAAACCACCTAGGGAGCAATAAAGATGCAACCAATGATATCAAGGATAGAAATGAGACAGGTTGCAAGTTTCCAGTATGGTTCCTCTCAGGTTTGGGGAGCTTATGGTTTTTATTGGAGAGTTCATGTTGGTGCTGGATAGCAGGATAGGTGTCAGGTTCACTGATCCAACACTGTTCCATGACTTTCATTGGGTTCGGGATTCACTAGCGCAATATATTGGTTATATATAAAACTTTTCCTAGCCCTATATACATATTTATAGAGGATAGCCATGGGCAAGAACCCCTTTATCCCTTTTGCCTTTTAGTTTCCTTTTTCTCCACTCATATTGCCTCCTTCATGGAGTAACTAAACTAAGCTTGGGTAGAAGTTTCAAAGGGTCAAAGTTGCAGTTGACCTAACCAGTACAAAACACAATATTGCCACTCTTCACTGCCCTACGTGTGATTCAAGATTTGGAAGTGAAGCTAGGTCCAAAAGAAAGGGTAAGGAGTAGAAAAATCATTCTCAGGGGTTGTTATATTCTAGTTAGCATTTTAATGGAATTTTCACTAGAACATAGCAATAAATCATACAATCATATAATAGAATACATATTAAAAAAATTTGATTTTGATTTAGAAATGATGCACATTGCCCTTGTGAAGTTATTTACCTGAATAACAGTAAAGCTGGTCCATCCCAAGCTTCCATTTGACCCTTGTAATACTCATAAAAATCAACCACCTGGAAAAAAACAAAAAAGGCCTAAGCAACTAAAGGCTCATATAATATCAACTAAAGTGCACTACAACAAAAAAAAAAGTTAGGGTCTACACCCAAAAATCAAAACACAAAAAAAAAGAACAGAAAAAAGCTAAACCAGGGATAATGACATTCAAGATTGTGATTTAAAAAGACGAATGTCAAACTACAAAGAAATAAAATGAACTTTAAGTGCCCTACAACAGAACAAAAATGATATCACCATTGATCTTGGAGATAACGATAACATATTAATAATGATTAGCCAGCCACAGTTGATTACAGATGCAAACTTGAAATGTATATTACCTCAGGATATTTTATCATCAAAGTTGGATGATTCTTGTATGCCTCTGGGACAAGAATCATGAGAGCTTCCTCTGGACTACGGCCACTTCTTAGCAACAACTGATCAGAAGGAAGAATTCCGCAACACAACAAGTTAGAGAATAAGGAGAAAACAAACAAGTAAAAAGAAACTTATTAATTATAAAGCTTAAACCAGAATGAGAAAACCTTGTCAGGAGCCAATGTACAAAAAAATGAATTATGGTTATACAAATACCAAAAAGGTGAAGAACTGAATAGAAGCTAATTGTTACAGGTTTTAATAAGATTTGAAATGGTCCACATTGTTTTGAAGTGTTAGAAATATGTCTATATTGAGGGTAGAGTGGGCATCAGGGTATTTCTGTCCATCTACGACTTTACTTAAGTAGGGGAAGTAGTGTCTTTTAATATTTTATTAATCTCTAATATAAATAATAGGCTGCTGCAGGTTGGGGAGTATTCTATTCTCCTCATCAAAAGGTTTTCTTTCCATCTCATCCATTTTCTTTCTCTTTGTCCTCTCTCTTCCAGTCTTTCTCTATTCTTCTATAACATATCGTCTTTTTTGTTTATCACTAACTGATCGCAGGTTACATTACGTGGTATAAGAAAATTTAGTAACCTGTGTTAGCATAAATCAGAACCGAGCTCTCTGGTAGAGAGTCAGATCAGATAGCAATTGCCATTGCCCTCCTTATGGATGAGTGGTGGTTGTGTGGTTGTAGTAAGTTCCTCTATTTGACAGATCAAAGAAGAACATTCTTCGTGGTGGAAGTATTCTGTATAAAGAAAGACATTCAAAATTCAGAGGTTGATTGCAAGAAGAATGATAATGTGGTTAATTGCTGCAATGTATGACAGGTTGTAGATAAGTATTGGTGATGTGCAAGTACTGTTAGTATGTGACAGTGATTAGAATGCAGTATCAAGAAAGACCGGCCCATTATTACAGTTTGATTCAGTATTGTTTCTTCCTTGAAGTGAAGCCTCGGTTCTGGTATTCAAGCAGACCAGAAAATTAGTACGACTGCTGCGCTGTATAACAGTCTGTATTCAGACCAGAGATTACTTCTTAGTAGAGAGATGGCATCAGCTAGTTTGGAGAAATCAAGCTTGGAAGTTGGAATAGCAATTAATCCTGATTTTTTATTTTTTGCAACATAGGTGACCTTAACAATGTTTATGGGCCTAATGACTATAGAGAGAGGAGGAAGTTATGGGAAGAACCGGCTGCTATCAGGGAACTGTGAGAAGGACCATGGTGTTTAGGAGTTTATTTCAATGTAATCAGATTTTTGGAAGAAACAAACAGTCCTGGGCAGAGGTCGACTACAAGCATGAGGAAACTTAGTCAATTTGTGGATGACTTTGAGCTTAAAGAGATATCCTTGTCACATAGCTGTTTCACTTGGTCTAATCTCCAAGTGAATCCTATTTGCTCTAAGTTGGACAGATTCTTATTTTCGAATGATTGGGAAGAACATTGGGGGAACTTGACCTCTAGAGCGCTTCCAAAAGTAACTTCTGACCATTGACCTATTGTGATTTGTAAGGAGTTGGGAAATGCAGGACCCACTCCATTCAGATTTGAAAACATGTGGTTAGGACACCCAGGCTTTATTCATAAAGTTAAAGAGTGGTGGTTAGAGAGTAATCTGACAGTGGAATGGAGTGGAACGAGGTTTCACAAGAAGCTCCAATATTTGAAAGATAGAATCAAGGAATGGAATCACTTAGAGTTTGGGAGACTGGAGGAAAGGAAGCAATTTGTGACTGCACAAATTGAAGTCTTGGATCTCAAGGAAGGGAGAGGATGTCTTACAGAAGAGGATAAGGAACAAAGATGGAAATTGCACAAACAGTTAGAGGACTATCTGTTCAAGGAGGAAATAAGTTGGAGGAAAAAATCAAAATATAAGTGGTTGAAAGAGGGAGATAGAAATACCAAGTTTTTTCATGTTGTATCAAGTGGAAGAATGAGAAGAAATTTTATCTCAAGTCAGGAACTTGAAGGGGTAACAATATCCAATCAAAGAGAGATTGTTGGGGCCTTTGCGGATCATTTTAGGTCTATATTTAGAAGACCCCTAAATAATAGGGTATAGCTTGAGGGGTTGGGCTGGCCAACCTTGAGGTTGGAGGATAGGGAGTGGTTGGAAAGGACATTTGATTTGAAAGTGATAAAGGAGGTGGTGTTCTCTATGGATTAGATTAAAGGCACTAGGCCCAAACGGTTTTACGATGGCTTTTTATCAGGATTGTTAGGAGATACTGAAAGAGGACCTAATGCTAGTATTTGATGAAGTCCATAACAAGGGAGTGATTAACCCAGGGTTGAATTCCACCTTCATTGCCTTGGTTCCCAAGAAAAGAGATGCAAATCATCCGAAGGACTACAGACCAATCAACCTAGTTAATAGTCTGTATAAGATTATTACAAAGGCGTTGTCCATTAGGATTAGGAAGGTGCTCCCAGCAATTATACCAAATAACCAAGGAGCTTTTGTGAAGGGGAGGTAGATAACAGATCAAATACTTATAGCAAATAAGAGAATGGAGGATTTCAAGAGATCCGAAAAAAGGGGTGGTTTGCAAATTGAATTTGGAAAAGGCATATGACTTGGTAGATTGGTCATTCCTATTCTATGGATTAGATTAAAGGCACTAGGCCCAAATGGTTTTACGATGGCTTTTTATCAGGATTGTAAGGAGATACTAAAAGAGGACCTAATGCTAGTATTTGATGAAGTCCATAACAGGGGAGTGATTAACCCAGGGTTGAATTCCACCTTCATTGCCTTGGTTCCCAAGAAAAGAGATGCAAATCATCCGAAGGACTATAGACCAATCAACCTAGTTAATAGTCTGTATAAGATTATTACAAAGGCATTGTCCATTAGGATTAGGAAGGTGCTCCCAGCAATTATACCAAATAACCAAGGAGCTTTTGTGAAGGGGAGGTACATAACAGATCAAATACTTATAGCAAATAAGAGTGTGGAAGATTTCAAGAGATCCGAAAAAAGGGGTGGTTTGCAAATTGAATTTGGAAAAGGCATATGACTTGGTAGATTGGTTATTCCTATTGGAGGTGATGACCAACTTTGGGTTTAGAGACAGTTGGTGCAAGTGGGTGATGGGTTGCATTAGGACTTGCCACTACTCCATCTTGACGAATGGGACAGTAGTGGATTTGTTTACGGCTTTGAGAGTGATTAAACAAGGAGACCCCCTCTCTCCATTTTTGTTTACCTTGGTTGCAAAAGTGTTGGGGAGACTATTTTCCATAGCAAATTCCAAGGACTTAATAAGGGGGTAGAGAGTTGGAAGGGAGAACATACCACTCACACACTTGCAGTTTGTAGATAACACAAAATTTTTTTATGAAGGAGAGGATCTCAATAGGATCAGGAACCTAAAGCTCACTATACTACCCTTTGAGCAAATCTCAAATCTTAAAGTGAATTTTGAGAAAAGTTGTATATTAGGAGTTAATTTGGGGGAGGGGGAGATTTCTAAGGGGTATACACAAATGCACGGATTAGACTACTTGGAAACATTTGCCCAGTTGCTAAGATGACCTCTATGAGAGTCCTATTATCATTTTTTTTTTTTTTGAAAAAAGGTAAAGTAAATTTTATTGATGGAGACAATAGTTATACAAAGCGGGAGGAGACATGAAGTCAGCACCCCCACATAAAGAGATCAGAGATCCCATACACTGACTGACTTAAGCATCAGCAATACATTCTGATTACAAAACTCAGGAAGGACTGATAACCAGGATGCTAATCTAGCCACTATACCCTGGATCAACGCCTCCGGCCTCTTCTTCTCTTTTCTGAAAATTTCGTTATTCCCCTCCAACCATATAGTGCTGATAACTGCCACAGGGATAGATCTCCAGATGAGCTTGCCTTTCTTTGATAACCTCGGAAGGTTCCAGCCTTTTAACAGCTCCTTTACATTGTTCGGCATAATCCAGCATACCCCCACAGCAGAGAAGAAGTGGGACCAAATTCTCCAAGCCAAATCGCAATGAATGCAGAGATGGTCCATAGTTTCCTCAACCCGACCACAATTTCCACAACCTAAAGTCCTCCAAGCTGAATTCCCTTTTAGCCAGGTTGGTTCTTGTTAAGCATTTCCCTAGCACAGAGGTCTAGACCAGGAAATTGACTTTTGAAGGGGCAGATGGGATCCATATTTGTCTAGAGGGGAAGTCTGCATTCCTACAACCAGTTAAACCATCAGCAAAGGATCTAACTGAGAAGTTTCCATCAACAATCCAGGTCCATGTCCATTGGTCTCTTGATTGAGATTGAAAAGAGAAACTGTTTAGGTTATTTAGCAGGTTCACCACCTCAGCCACTTCCCAGTCTTGAAAATCCCTTCGGAACCTGGGCTTCCACATCACTTCACCTTGGACTAACTCGAAGGAATCAGCCACAATTGCCTCTTTGTTTTCAGCCATTGAGAACAGAAGGGGAAAAATCTCTTCCAAAGGAATCTCGTTCAACCATTTGTCCTTCCAAAGCCGAACTCTACTCCCATCACCTAACTTGAAACCCACTCCTTTTAGGAAAGACGGGAGAATTTTCATGATACATTTCCATAAAGAGCACCCATAAGATGGAAGTGTGGCAGCAGTCATCTATCCCCCTTATTTGAACCCATATTTGGAAGCAATAAGCTTCCTCCACCAGCATTTATCTTCCACTCCAAACTGCCAAATCCATTTTCCCAATAAGGCCGTGTTACTTAAATGTCTTGATTCTTCTTAGACCCAGACCTCCTGAATTCTGTGAAGAGCAAATTTGTTCCCCGCCTCTCAAAGGTCTCCACCCTGTTCACATCCTTATCAGCTCAACCCCACCCTCAGAACCGTCCAGCAACTATTCTCCTGTGAACATCTCCGGTGTAGTTATCATCACTCAGTCAGGTGTAGATGATCTCTTTTGCATGTACAATTAATCAACTGCTGAAATCATTGGTAGCTAATTTTGATTGGTCCCTATATCGATTTGACATAAAGAATGCTTTTTTGAATGGGGATCTGCATGAAGAAGTATACATGT